CTCAAGGGCAGCCCTGTGTACAGCAAATTACAGTAATCTAAGCAAGAGGTGGCCATGGCATGGATCACTGTAGGAAGGCCAGAACAAGGCAGGTAGGGAACTAATTGGCTAAAAGGCCGTCTGTGCAGTGTTGGATGCTTGTTTCTCAAATGAGGGCGAGATGTAGAACCCCACCCCCAGCATCCTGATGGAGTACAGCAATGTCAGTGGAAGTGTCCATAGGGGTCCTCAAAACGCATTTGGAGGCCTTTGAGACATCAGATGAGTTCCAAGCACCTCTTATGAGCTTTGCCTCTTTGGTGGTGGGGACTGGGGAGAGCAGGAGGTTCCCAGCATCACGTTCTAAAACAGGAAGAGCATAGTTTATTTAATATTTATTTAATTTTATTAGACTTCTACCCCGCCCTCCCCACATTGTAGGCTCAGGGCAGGTACCAACATACAGATCTGCAATTAGTGCAGATTCCTGTCAGGTAGCCCTGTCATAGGTCTGGAATGTGGAGGGGTGCCCTCCCGTTTTCTGTCTCAGCTCTCCCTGGCTCACCAACTGTTCGCTGTCTTATGCTTGACCTTGTAGATGCTCCAGCTGCAGTTTTACCCGGCTTGGAAAGTTAATGGCTATTGCTTTGCCTGCTTCCTTTGCCTGCGCGCGCAAGATGTATCCATTGGCTCATGCTTAATGGGGGGATGTTTGATTCTAGTATAAATCAGTGGCCCTTATATTGGCAGCCATTCCTGACACAAGCTGTACACGTGTCTCTAGTACTGAACCTACCAATAAACAGTTATCTTCTTATGAAGCCCTGTGTTGTGTGGCCTGACTAAGGACCCTGACAATTCCCCACTCCTGTCTCTAGCAGGAAATCCAGAAGGACACTGTGTTTCGTGGGCCTGAAAGCTGCTGAGAGATTCAGGGGAGAATCAGCAAAGTTGCGTTCCTGCTGTCTTGTCACCTGGGTGAAGGCGAGAAGGCAGTTTTTGTCCCACAGCTGGGCAGAAATCAGGTTGAAATGGACCCTCCAGTTGTCTGGAGCCGAGTTACCGCCTTGAGTGCCAGTTGTTGGGGATATCATCCAGATCTAGGGAAGGTGCTTTTGGGAGTGGCCTCACAGGTGCCTCGATGTCAGGTAGCCCTGTCATAGATCTGGAATGTATCCTCCTCCTCGTTCAATCTCAGCTCTTTCCTGCCCAGCTACTGTGTGCTATCTTACGCTTGACCTTGCAGATGTTCCAGCTACCGCTTCCACGGCTGGGAAAGTTAACAGCTTTTTGGCTATGCCTGCTTGCTTTGCCACGCGTGTGAACTATATTCATTGGCTTATGCTTATGGGGGGGAATGTTTGATTTCACTATAAGTCAGAAGCCCTAATACTGAAGGCTATTCTGTACACGTGTTCTTTAGTACTGGAACCACTAATAAACAGTTATCTTCTTATGAAGCCCTGTGTGGTGTGACCTGACTAGGGAGCCTGACAAATGCCCCATCTGTGGCATTACCCTCCTCTCTTACTCGAGGGGTTACTTTTCCACGGCTCAGGGCCAGCATCGGTCTATTCTCAGGTGGGGCAGCTACCAAGGCCCAGTGGCACTGACCCCCACCCACACACCCTCCCCTGCCACCTGTCTGTGCCCCTGCTCCCAGCTGCCCAGAGTCATTGAGGAAGAGCTTGTGGGTGGTGCACAGTGGAGGCACTCCTGGTGGCAATGGTGGGTGGCACAGGCAACTGGGCACCGGTGGTAGGAGAACTTGCGAGCAGGAGAAGGATGGACAGGCAGGTGGGGGGGCATGCCGGTGTTGGGGTGGAAGAGAGGACACAAGTGGGCCCACATGTGCACTGTCTGCCCCTGAACCCTGCTGTGGCTACAGATTATTCCCACCGTCCAGGCTAGTATACCCCAGGAAGAGGGAGGGAAGAAGGAGAAGAGTTGGACTTATACCCCGCCCTTCACTTGGAGTCTGAGAGCAGCTTCCAATCTCCTTTCCCTTCCCCTCCCCACAACACACAACCTGTGAGGTAGGTGGGGCTGAGAGAGCTCTTTCGAGAACTGCTCTTGAGAGAACAGCTCTGAAAGAACTTGTGACTGACCCAAGGTCACACAGCTGGCTGCATGTGGAGGAGTGGGGAATCAAACCCGGTTCTCCCAGATTAGAGTCCGCGCTCCTAACTGCTACACCAAACTGGGAGGGTCATAATAGGTCTGAGATGCATCTTGTGTATCTTATTGATATTAAAAATAGTATACATCCACTTATAAAACCCATTGGTCCGTAATATTCTCCATGAAGGTAACATTGCTGACCTCTTGTGCGCAATTCTCAAGATGGCGTATGTGATGAGAAAGTAATCAGCCCCCTGGCTAGGATGCAACAGAGATTTTGCCTTAAGGTGGCAGTTGCCAATCCCTTGCTAAATGTACTTCTAGGAATCGCTCCAAATTCCCTTCCTCTGCCTTTTAACAAGCCCTTTTCCTTGGCTTCTGTGTCCTGTTAAATAGCTGTAACTTCATCACGACGTTGAAGTGGGTGATGTATCTCCAGCTAAGTTTTGGAGGGGGTGGTATCCCTGCGTGTTCAAAGATTGCATCATGTCCCTAGGAACACCATAGCCTAATATTTTAGCTTGGTATTCTCCTCCCAGTCTGACAGCATGCATTTTCATAGAATGGCTAACAATTGTAATGAGAGATTCTCCTTCTCTTCTGAAGATTGTTCAACAGTTCCCTTATGCATTTATGTTAGGTTTTTTCTTTCTTTCTCAAGAACTCTCCCTATTTTCTTGTCTTAGAAGTCCCTTGGCAAAAATCTGTCATTTCCTCTTATTTAATCTTTGCAACGTCTTGGATTCAAAACTCCCTCTTTAACTCCAAGGCTTTGGCAGTATTGAAACCCACTAATCAGACCAGACTGAAAGTAAATAGAAAGCAGCTGGAAATAATGAGGAAATTGTGTTTTTAAAAAAGATATTTAAGGTTTGACATTTATTCCCGTGGTAAATGTCAAAGGATGAAAACATTTTGAATTTTATTCTGTAATGGTTGTGCTCTTGTTAAGATACTCCCAGAGATCTCATCTTGGGATTTTTTGTGAGTTTCAAATACTTTAGCAGTCTATATAACTTTGCTCAAAGACAAGTGAGTTATACAGACTAGCAAAGATATAGTCTGTCAGATAAAAATCTCGGTTGTAGTTAAGAACATCAGAAGAACCCTGCTGGATCAGACCAGTGATCCATCCAGTCCAGCATCCTGTCTCACACAGGGGCCAACCAGTTCCTCTGGAGGGCCAACAACAGGGCATAGAGGCTGAGGTCTTCCCCTGATAAGAACATCAGAAGAGCCCTGCTGGATCAGACCAGTGAGGGTCCATCTAGTCCAGCATCCAGTCCCACACACTAGCCAACCAGTTACTCTGGAGGGCCTGCAACAGGACATAGAGGCCGAGGCCTTCCCCTGATAAGAACATCAGAAGAGCCCTGCTGGGCCAGACCAGTGAGGATCCATCTAGTCCAGCATCCTGTCTCACACAGGGGCCAACCAGTTCCTCTGGAGGGCCAACAACAGGGCATAGAGGCTGAGGTCTTCCCCTGAGAAAAACATCAGAAGAGTCCTGCTGGGCCAGACCAGTGAGGATCCATCTAGTCCACCATCCAGTCCCACACACTAGCCAACCAGTTCCTCTGGAGGGTCAACAACAGGGCATAGAGGCCGAGGCCTTCCCCTGAAAAGAACATCAGAAGAGCCCTGCTGGGCCAGACCAGTGAGGGTCCATCTAGTCCAGCATCCTGTCTCACACAGGGGCCAACCAGTTCCTCTGGAGGGCCAGCAACAGGGCAGAGAGGCTGAGGCCTTCCCCTGATGTTGCCGCCTGGCTCTGGGATTCAGAGGTTGGCTGCATCTGAATGTGGTTCCTCTCAGCCGCCATGGCCAGTAGCCACTGATAGACTTATCCTCCATGAACCTATCTAATCCCATTTTAAAGCTGTTTATTTCTATTCCTGTGGCCATCCTGACATCCTCTGGCAGCAAATTCCACATTTCAATCCCTCTCTGTGTCAAGAAGTATTTCCTTCTGTCTGTCCTGAACCTACTGCTGCATCAGATTCATTGGGATGCACAATGCTCTTGATTTATTTTTCAAATTTAAAAATGTTTGATTTATTTTTTAATTAAAGGCGACGAAAGCTACTGCTTTTTTACGGTTTCTCCTTTCTTTGGCTTCCAGTGCTTTGTTACATAGAGAAAGCTATCTCTGTACAATGCGTCCTTCATTTGTACACACAAAAGGGTCTTCGACAAAACCATGAGGAGGGTCCAGGCAGCTTTGGTGTAGTGCCAGTTTGGTGTCGTGGTTAAGTGCACGGACTCTAATCTGGGAGAACTGGGTTTGACTCCCCACTCCTCCACTTGTACCTGGCTGGATGACCTTGGGCAAGCCGTAGTTCTGATAACAGCTGTCCTTGAAAAAGAGCAGTTTCTGTCAGAGCTCTCTCAGCCCCACCTACCTCACAGGGTGTCTGTTGTGGGGAGGGGAAGGAAAAGGAGTTTGTAAGCCACTCTGAGACACCTTTGGGTAGTGAAGGGCGGGGTATAAATCCAATCTCCTCCTCCTCCTCCTCTTCTTCTTCTTCGTGGCACACACCTACTGGTGGTATCCAAGGCAAGCCCCTGGAGAAGCTAGGTACATTGAACCAGCCCTGTACTTGTGCTCTTGAACAGTTAACTAGTAGAAATATTTGTGTGGCATTGTGGTACATCCGAACACCAGCTTGATTGTAACAATTTTGGAAGAAAGACCTTCCTGAGAGTGAACTTCGAAGCTGTCAGGTTCAAATGATAAAGTAAAAAATAAAAGCCATGCTTTAAAAAAATATATATATCCCTCAGAGTTTATGGTTTGCTAATATGTCTTTCCAAGTGCTCTAAAGAAGTTTGAATGGCTTATATGTAGTTTTGGATTCTGCTGCCTCAAGAGAGCAATATCTTGAAACTGTTCGTTTCAGGTTTGCCTCCAGTTCCTTCTACTTCCCAAGCAAGCTTTACGGAGTTTACCATGAGAGAACGCATGAGAGAGAAGCTCAAAGCTGCACGGGTGAGTCTTCCTTGAGAAAATACCTTAGGATGCTGGAGTTACCTCCTTAAATACCTACATGATTTCTTTTGTCCTTTGGAGCACATTGATTAATCTCACGCTTAACCACTGAACAGAGAGATCAAGGTGGCCGGTTCTGAAGCAACAGAACAAAGTCTAATGGCACCTTCTAGGCCAACGAAGTTGTATTCAGGGTGTGAGCTTTCATGTGCACGCACACTTTGTCAGACGATGAAATGGCATTACATATCATAGTTGTATATATAACAAACTAGGGGTCATTTGTAGAAAAAGAGGTGCAGGAGCTCATTAGCATAACGTATTCGCATATGCCACACCCCGTGACATCACCGGAAGTGTGTCAGAAGGCAACATCCACTGCTCAGGCGCCACTGGACGGTTTTGGATTGCCAGCTATTGTGGGGGGGGACGTGCAGATCTGTCCTTGCAGAGTAGGGAGAGCTTGTACCTGAATAAAACTTGGTCTTAAAGGTGCCACTGGACTGGGGGGACGGGGGGGGGCTCTGCAGCTTACCTGGCTGCTTCTTGCTCTGACTGAGGGCTGCTGGGAGCAGGGGGTGGGGCTTGTTGCATGTGCCCGCCCCCTGGGCTCTTTACTGCTGGAGCTCCGCTCCTGTGCGCTCCTGCAGGAAATGACCCCTATAACAAACCACCCCTTTATATACAACCATGATATGTAATTCCATTTCCTTGTCTGACGAAGTGTGCGTGCACGCAAAAGCTCACACCTTGAATACAACTTTGTTGGTCTTAAAGGTGCCATTGAACTCTAACTTTGCTCCTCTGAACAGAGAGACTGTAGAGCAGTGGGTAGGAGATTGACTGGAGCAAAGAGATCCAGTTAAAAATCTCCACATGGCCACAAAGCTTATCAGTGTTGTTGTAGGTATAAGTGGGAGAGGGGTAGCTCTGTGCATGCTACATGGAAGGCCAGGGTAGAAATGCAATAGGTTCTCTAATAATGGTGTAATGTATCCAGTCCAGACTGCGTGGCCATTAATATTATTACTTAGAAGTAACAAGATAGTGTTCTTTGACATTTGTGGAGGCCATTGAGGCATAAAACACATCCAAATCAGTCGCTGTGTGATCATTTTCTTACCTAACTAGAACATTCAAGGCTTGATGCCAGGAGACAGTAGCCTGGTACAGACAACCCTCTCCCCACTGCATGGAGTGAGGAAGCGAGCACAAGACTGCTGGCACTGCCCCCTGACTCTGGGTGATTCCCTGGGTACCCGCAGTATGCTTCTGTGCCCGCTCTCCCTTGCTGTGGGGTGTGAGTGGAGGTGCCAAGGCAGGGGTTCTGTACCAGGCTTCTGTACACCGGAGATCCATCGGTGTAGAATTTGGGGTGGGGGTTGGGGTCCAGGGTCTTCCTCGATAACAGCTCCTGGCCCCACTGCTGGACCTCCTGATGGCACCTGGTATTTTTGGCCACTGTGAGACAGAGTGTTGGACTAGATGGGCCATTGGCCTGATCCAGCATTGGCTTCTCTTATGTTCATATGTCTGAAATCCCATCCACATGCCACTCTCAGGTGGGCACAGACAGTGGAATCAAACAGCAACACCCCCCCAAAAAAATTTTTGGAATCCAGTGGCACCTTTCAGACCAACAAAGGTTTATTCAAGGTGTGAGCTTTCGTGTGTGTGCAAATTTGTTCTACTGCTTTGGACCAACATGGCTGACCACTTGAATCTAGCAAAAAAACAAACCCCAGATTACTAAAGAAAGATCAGAATAGTTGATACTAAACCCAAATTTGTGTATGAATGTCATTAACACAAAGTCTGTTCTTTGTGATAGTAGAATTTATGAACCCTTGATTTTTTTTTTTAAAAAAAGAAAGGTAATGTATGAGTGATGAAAATTTAGATTATTTCACCCCCTCCCCCCATTTCTCTTTCTTTTGTGATGTTCAGTCTAGAGCAGAAAGCGCTTTGCTGGAAGAAGTCTCAAGTTCACGGTCTCTGAAAAGTTTCAGAGAGAGGAAATCACACATTAGACTGGTAAATGAGGTGAGCCGCTTCCTGGGAATCCCTGCATGTTTTCCTCTCACGTCTTCATGCTGTCCTGCTAGTCACAGTCATTAAAGCTCTGAATTTATTCAGGGATTGGCCCAGTTGATGAATCTGGTAGATGGAAAGTTAATTTGTTTAATCGTGATAACTAAGACCGTCTATGCTTCAGGGTAGTAGAAAAGAGCAAGAGTCCAGGAGCACCTTAAAGACTTAACAAAAATTTGTGGCAGGGGATGAGCTTTCATGAGCAGTGGTGCACAAAAGCTCCTACCCTGGCACAAATTTTTGTTAAGGTGCTCCTGGACTCTTGCTCTCTTCTGCTGCTACAGACAGACTAACGTGGCTACCCATCTCGATCTATGCTTTAGCACAGGGGTGTCAAACATGCGGCCCAGGGGCCGGATGAGGCCCCGGAGAGCTTCCATGAGGCCCACAGTGGAACCGGCTGTCTTCTGCTTCTTCTTCCAGTCCTGCTGTTGCTGCATCATCATAGGTTTGCAGCTTACAGACGCACGCCTGAACAGCATGCCCAAGATTGCAACAGCACAGACATTTTGATGCAATGACTCAGAGCGAGAGGTGTCAGTTATCAGACACTGTGAAATAAACAAAATATTGCAAGAGTGCTAATGTTTTAAGCATGTTTTTATTTTAAGTAAAAAGAACCCTTTGTGTTTGTGTCCTTTATAAAGTTTATATCTCTGCTACCTGGCATCACATTTTATGACACACGTGGCCCAGCCCAACAAGGTCTCATTTATGTCAGATCCAGCCCTCATAACAAATGAGTTCGACACCCCTGCTTTAGCATGTACATGTTGGGGTTTACAGGAATTAACCTTGTTTTTTTAAAACACTGGACAGTACTACTTGGACATTTTGCCTTGTTCTTCCGAAGTAGGCTTCTCATAATGTTCAAAAAGACCTTTCAGAGCAGTGCTGTGACAGGACACGATTGCTTAGGAGAGTTTGTAAAAGAACCTTAGCTGGGCAGGGGTGTGAATTGGATTTATAAATCCTGTCTGAGACCCAGAAAACTATGGGGGGTCTCTTCTGTTTTAACAGTTTAAATCTTGAGTGTGGATTTGCTTTTTTGTCCGCACTGATCCTTTAGGTCGATAATTGTTCTCTCTCTGGGTTAAGTGACTGATTCTAGGCATTTAAAAAAAATTATCTTCAGCTCTAAATTGCAAAAACGTTTTGTGGCTTTCTTATCGATCCCTGTGGTCTTGGAAATGTGTGAGTTGAATAGGAAGCAATTCTTGGTTAGTAATTAGAGATAACAGGAGTTAGTGGATTAGTCTGAGAAGACTTTCTATTAATAGTTTTGGGGGTGAATAAAATAATAGATTGATGGAAAATGAGGTCAATAATCTGTATTATTGTTCATTACAGAAATTAATAAACTGTGAATTATAAAATTAAATCATTGTAGAAACCTGGGGGGGGGGGAGGAAATGTGTGGGTTTTGAGATGAGAGGTGGGCTATGCCAGCCCCCGTCCTTTGGGCAGCAGGGGGGGAATCTACTCGAGAGCTTCTGCTTCAGCTAGGAGAGACTTACAAACGGGAGCCTTGCCTTTCGGTTGGATTGATCTTCCTGCCTTAATGCAAAGGGCCCCTTAAACCTTCCTGCCCCTTGCACAGGTTACAGGCCCAATCAGATTTGGGCTTCAGATGCCCAGCAGTTGAATATTTAAAAGCAGAGATCTCCAGTCCCAGAATTCCCAGCCTCTTGTCTGGCTTCACTCACTGCTTGTTTTCCTGATTTAGGTCTAGCGCTCTAATCAGTACACTCCACAGGCTTTCATCATCACCCCTGCTTAGGCGATGCCACTTTGGTGTAGTGGTTAAGTGCGCGGACTCTAATCTGGGAGAACTGGGTTTGATTCCCCACTCCTCCACTTGCACCTGGCTGGATGACCTTGGGCATGCCACAGTTCTGTCAGAGCTGTCCTTGAAAAAAGAGCAGTTTCTCTCAGAGCTCTCTCTCACAGGGTGTCTGTTGTGGGGAGGGGAAGGGAAAGGGGTTTGTAAGCCACTCTGAGATGCCTTTGGGTAGTGAAGGGCGGGGTATAAATCCAATCTCCTCCTCCTCCTCTTCCTTCTTCATCCTGCTTTTAATACTAGTCTGCCCCCAAATACCCATTTCTTAATGTTACCTATGGCTTTGCTGTTTGCAGACGCCTTCCTGGTTGCTTTCTTTGTGCCTCAGACACCCTTTCACTTTGGACCATGTCAGCACACCCTTCCTCAGCAGGGCTGCCAGCTCCGGGTTGGGAAAGAACCTGGAGATCTGGAGGGTGGAGCCTGGGGAGGGCCAGGGCTGGGGAAGGGAGGGGCCTCAGCAGGGCCATGTAGAGTCCGCCCTCCAAAGCAGCCATTTTCTCCAGGGGACCTGATCTCCGTTGTCTGAAGATCAACTGGAACAGCGGGAGATCTCCAAGTGCCACCTGAAGGCTGGGAACCCTGTATGTATCCGTGTTCCCCACTGTGGGGGCCTGCGGGTGCCATGTTGGCCACTCGTCCTTCCCCCGCCCCCCACCAGGCTTTTTAAAAAAGCGAGTGGGGTTTGTGTGAGGCAGGGCTGGGGACTGGCCGCCCTCGTTCAGATGGAAGGATTTCCCCAGGAGCAGCCCCGGAAGGGTCAGGAGGCCTGCTCAGCCCCTGGGCTTGAGGTTCCGTTCCAGCCGGCCGGTGTGCGTGGAAGTTGTGGGAGGGGAGCCCTGCTGGCTGCAGCAGCTGAGGGCACACTGCTCTGATTCCCTTCATGGGGTGCGGCAAGGCAAGTGCGCCCCCCCCCCCCGGCCCTCCTTTCTGTGTTTTCTGTGTTTCTCCTCCCTGGCCTGCCAAGAGTCTCACAGAAGGAAGAGATGATGCTATTGAGGCTGTTACAGTCCACCTTTGGTTAACCAGTGACCAGTAGCTGGTGTTAACCACCAGTTTGAAGACCAGTGTTGAAAAGGATGCTTCAAGTGGGAATAGCTCCCCCCCCCCCCCCTTCGTGGTCTCAGCAGCCTGGTCTCCACTGACAAGTGGGAAAGGAACTGGGTCTGTGCATAGGGCCCACAGTGTTGTATTTAAAGCATTCCTTCTCTCTAGGGGCCCAGCCCCTCACATATAAAAACCTTGGCTTTCCAATCTACACACCCCTTCTCCCGCAAGCCGCAGTTGCCAGCGTGTTGGCAGTTTAAAATAAATCCATGCTTTAATGTTATTTCTGTGTGTGCAGGTGGGCGAAGATGAAGCCAGTGTCACAGAAGAGAATGAATCCACGATATCTGCAAGAGTAAAGCTACATGATTCTGCCAGGAAAATGAAGCAGAAATCCCAGGTGGGGATGGATCTTCAAGGACAGTTGCTGTTTCTTGGCATTGTGACCAGGGCTGCCAACCTCCAGGGGGAGGAGGAATTCCAAAAACAACATCCGTGACAACAATAACGAAGGGTCAATGAAGATAAATTGCAAAAATGTTTACTGTAGTAATTTCTGTAGAAAATTTTCGTCTATAATCGCTCACACGCTAACGAATACTGTGCAATGAACAATTCGTTTCACAATATTTGCTTTATCTGAGCGTGTAGCAATCCCAGTTCTTATCAATCACTACTTATCAACTCCTGAAGGAAACATTCCATGTTGACTCTCTAATAACAGAACATGGAATGTTTCCTTCAGGAGTTGATAAGTAGTGATTGATAAGAACTGGGATTGCTACACGCTCAGATAAAGCTTTTCTTTCTGCACTGAGGACTTCAGCCCCACCAGAAAAGAATGTGTACCACTAGCCACGAAATCCCGGCTCTGGGCCTGGGTCAAACTAGCATCCTAGAGTCCTTCTGTAAGAATGGCCTCCTGAGCAATTCTGTTCTCCACATCCTGTGGAATGATGGAAGTGTGGCAGCTTGCCTGAGTCCATCAGGCCGGCCATCCCGCCAGTTAGCGGCTGCCACTGAGAATGGGCCACTGTTGATCCTGCCTCTTGGCAGGGTGGCACAGATGGGAACGAAAGTGTATCTGCACAGAAGACACTCTGTCCTCGGACTTTACCAGACCCTTCTTTCAAGGGCAGTGGGTCTGAGCAAATCCTCTAAAATGCTGCATCATCACCATCATCATCATCATCATATTATCTGACTGTTTTGTGGGCATTGGTAGGAAAAATAAGGAGACCCTTTCTTTGTCACTCCAAGGGAAGAGTGTAGCCATTGTCACTTTACTTGGACTAAGTTTCAGTTCGTCAACTTGGATTTCAGTTGCCTGTGATCAATTTTCTTCAAAAATTAAATCCAGGGGGGGCATTGTTAATAATTCTCTTTTTTATATGTATTAATAAAATATTGCACGGTAGAGCTCATCTCTAACATACTGCATCTTTTCATGTTAGATCCAAACAGGTTATCCTTCTTCCGAAGAAGCCTACAACTTCTTCACTTTCCATTTCGATCCTGAGCCAGAGAACATAGGGGAAGAAACTCAGGAGAAGGAAAACAACATCTCTGACCTGGGTGACAAGGAGGTGGAAGAGCAGGAGTCCAACAGCGGGCAGCAGGAAGGACAAATGGAGGGTGAAACGGTACCAATG